TCTGTGAATATAGAAAACACAGTAATGGTGTGCAAGCATAGAATTCTGTCAGTTTCATCTTGATGTCATTGTGTTAGTACATCTCAACAATAAGCTTTTCCACTGGAATGAAAGAAAACTTAGCATTGGTTTCATTTTTTGTTTGTTTGTTTTGTTTTTGTTTTCCTACTAATGGTTCACATTAGAGACTATATAGGGATTAATTTACTGAACTTGTTCTGATTCTTGTTTTGCTTTTAAATAATTTAATACATTTAAACCATCTTATCTTTTAATAATAAAATGTATATTCATCCTAAATGGTGCCATGTTCTATGTAAGCTAGCACATATCATTTTCCATAATGGTGCTTAACCTAATTATAGTTATACAGTATTGAGTTTGATTCTCTAGTCAAAATAACTTTGTCCACTTGGTTATGGACTAGAAGATGAACTTTAATTACTACTTTATTTATTTTTATTATATCATATGAGACACGTCTATCTGGCCAGAAATTTGACCTAGGAACAATACTTCATGATAAATTCTTCATGAATGCTGATAGTTGCTTTAGAAGAGAATAACTCATTATTAAGACAAAGATTTTATTCTTTTAGTCTCATTTCTTTCTTTCTCTCTTTCTTCTTTAAGAAATGGCATAACAATCTTTTATCATGATAATAGGAAATGGAATTAGTTTAGCTATGTATTTTTAACAGGGAAATGGGAAAATCAACAGTTTCACAGGATACATATTATTAAAATATTCTTCAACCTCACATAAAGCCAAACAGAGAGGATTTTTAAATGATATTTGAGTGTTTATATTCCATATAATAAACAATTTGGTAATATCCAAGAAAATGTGGAATCTCTATAATTGATATTTTAAAAGAGGGCAGGTTCAAGAATCATAAGAGAATGAATTGAAAAGTTTGGCACTACAATTTCTAATTTTACAAACTGGAGCATGTTTCTGCATATCAATAAAAAAGAAATCAATTAGAATTTTGAAGTTGCCTGTCTAGTATTTTTTTTCTGCATCCATACCATTACGTTGCTCAGAAGATAATAAAATTGCAAGAGTGATTTTGCAGCATTTTGAAAATATGTATGACATAATGTAAAAATAAATAAAGTCATTCCAAATATTGACTGAAATTATGCATATTCTGTGTCTAAAATGAACAGAATACCTAATCTTTTCTCCCTTGTAAATTTAAGAGCATGTTGTTTTAAATTGAATACTTTAGAGCTTATAAGAATATAATTTATGACAAATCAATTTAAATAGCATTCATTCTTACCAACAATGAATCAAACATTGGGATATAACTTTAATATAAGAAGCTGTTTTTGATACTTTTTAAAATTGAACAAAAAATATGCATGCGAAACAGTTTTAAACTGATTTTAATTTTATAATAAAGAAAAAATATCACTCTAATTTTGGATACCTCATAAAATTTACATGAATTCAGCTTTACATTTTGTTCAGTTCTATTATTTTCCACTTAGAAAATATCAATAAAGTGATAATATATTATTTGATATTTATATCTTCTAAAGATATCAAAATGATAACAAAGTTAAAAATAATTATTTTTCTAAAGCACATCAGAGACATTAATTGAACTGCAGTAGTAAAAATGATTTTTTCAAACCATTGATTAATAACCATATGTTTTACATGTAGTTAATAAGTTACAGGATTGCACTTAATCTTAAGAAGTCATTCATTTGCAATATTGGGCTGTCTCATTAGACAGAATTCTGTCTTATGTTTGTCTAAAGATTGATAGTGTCCTCTACATGAGGAAATCTTCATGCCATATTACCAATTTCAATGATATATGACAATTAAGGGAGACAATTGGTTATACAATGAATTTTGATAAAAACAAATTATTCCTTTTGCTATAGATAAACAAGCACCAGAATGTGGAATCCGTGGTTTAGATATGCACTTATGTTTCTAAAAACTTAGTGGTCAAAATAACTGTTACTGTGTTAATTTAATAATGAGCATAGTCCTCAGCTTTTAAAAGTTGAGAGAAATAATATCTCACTATATAATTCTTCACATTCTATCAATTACTCCTTGGTTTCTTAATTTACTTACCAGCTTTTTGTCATGGATGCAAGTTCTTTTTATAAAAGCTGATGAGTAACTTTCATGTGGCGACATATAATCACCTGCACAAGATTCTAGTTCTCAGTTGATTTGTGAACCTTTTTAAAGCTTATGTACATTAGCCTTATTAAAGGCTACTTAAACTTTAAGCTTGAAAATACTCTCAGAAACAAAGATGATATTAATATTCATTTGAGGAATATTTTATAGGAGTCTTTTATTTAACATTGACAATAATTACTTCCTTGAAAAATAAGCAACAAAGTTTCAACCCAACATGTACTCTTGGTGTGATATCAGCAGGAGTTTTGCCAAGTGAAGGATATTTGTATTCTTTTATTTGTGTGGCTTTTCCAGCTGTGTGTCACTCACTTGAAGAAAAGTTAACTCAAAATGGATCAAGGAGCTTGATATCAAATCAGAGACATGGCGCCTGATAGAAGAAAAAGTTGGCTACGACCTACATACTGTGGGGTCGGGCTCCAAATTCCTCAATAGGACACCCATAGCACAAGAGTTAATAACTAGAATCAACAAATGGGGCTTACTCAAACCAAAAAGTTTTTTCTCAGCAAATGAAACAATAAGAGAGGTAAATAGGGAGCCTACATCATGGGAACAAATCTTTACTCCTCACACTTCAGATAGAGCCCTAATATCCAGAGTATACAAAGAACTCAAAAAATTAGACAATAAGATAACAAATAACCCAATCAACAAATGGGCCAAGGACCTGAACAGACACTTCTCAGAGGAGGACATACAATCAATCAACAAGTACATGAAAAAATGTTCACTATCTCTAGCAGTCAGAGAAATGCGAATCAAAACCACCCTAACATACAATCTCACTCCAGGAAGATTGGCAGCCACTATGAAGTCAAACAACAAGTGCTGGCGAGGATGTGGAGAAAAGTGTACTCTTGTACATTCCTGGTGGGACTGCAAATTGGTGCGGCCAATTTGGAAAGCAGTTTTTGGAGATTCCTGGGAAAGCTGGGAATGGAACCACCATTTGACCCTGCTATTGCCCTTCTCGGACTATTCCCTGAAGACCTTAAAAGAGCATGCTACAGGGACACTGCTACATCGATGTTCATAGCAGCACAATTCACAATTGCTAAACTGTGGAACCAACCCAGATGCAGTTCAATAGATGAATGAATAAAAAAAAATGTGGCATTTATACACAATGGAGTACTACTCTATATTAAAAAATGACAAAATCATAGAATTTGCAGGGAAATGGATGGCATTAGAACAGATTATGCTAAGTGAAGCTAGCCAATCCCTAAAAAACAAATGCCAAATGTTTTCTTTGATATAAGGAAAGTAACTAAGAACAGAGTTGGGAGGAAGAGCATGAGAAGAAGATTAACATTAAACAGGGATGAGAGGTGGGAGGGAAAAGGAAAGAGAAGGGAAATTGCATGGAAATGGAAGGAGACCCTCATGGTTATACAAAATTACATACAAGAGGGAGTGAGGGGAAAGGAAAAAATAATACAAGGGGGAGAAATGAATTACAGTAGAGGGGGTAGAGAGAGAAGAGGGGAGGGGAGGGGATGGGGATAGCAGAGGATAGGAAAGGCAGCAGAATACAACAGACACTAGTATAGCAATATGTAAAACAGTGGATGTGTAAATGATGCGATTCTGCAATCTGTATACGGGGTAAAAATGGGAGTTCATAACCCACTTGAATCAAAGTGTGAAATATGATATGTCAAGAACTATGTAATGTTTTGAACAACCAACAATAAAAATTAAAGGAAAAAAAAGAATAATGCATTCATCCAACAAAGCTGAAGGTTTAAGGGAGGGTTTACATTCCAAGCTGGGTAGAAAGTCTGCAAGAGCAGTTGTACATAGTCTATCTTCTTGGATAGCCACTCAAAATCCCTCAACTTGTCACCCCTATTAAGGCCACCTGTCCAAATCCTTCATCAATCTTATTCTTTAAGCCACTGCAACGTTCTTTGAATTATGTATCAATTTCATTCTCTTTCTTTATCTCTCTTTCTGAAATAGTCACTTCAAATATCAAGAATTAATGGATCTTACATAAGTTTACTCCCCCCAAAAATCACACAATACTTAGTAGAAAGTATGCGATAATCTATCTTTTCTTGCAACTAATAATTTTAGTACTGAAATATATATTTTTATTTAACTCATATGCATACAAGTTATTTTCCTAATCAGTAGTATATTCCTTAAGGCAAACATATCCCATGCTTCCTCTTATATCTAAAGATCTTACATGGAACAATTTCCAAAGAAGATGCTCAAAATGATTTATTTTTTGCTTATGATGTGTCAGGTATATGTCCTACAAATAAAGATGTGATGACACCCTTTCTGCTGAGTCTTTAAAACCAGTTTGCAGATACTGGGTTTAGTGTTAGGTTTTGTGGAAAATTTTGCACACACTTACTACTAAGTTATAGCTATTGAAAAATACTAAGTAATAATTAGAATAATCTGTGATCTTTAGTCTGGGTACTTACTTACATTATAGATATCATTAACTCCACTTTCATGGAAGCCAGAGCTGCTATTGTAGTTTTCCTCCTTCTGTTTTTAGAGAAATTTTGCCTGAAATTGATGTAAGATATGAGGCAGGGAGAATGGAGGGAGAAGGTGAGACACGGAGAGAAAGAAAGAGGGAGAGGTATATGGAGGTTGTGGAACAGGGTGCTTTTTTTCTGTAGGAAATAATTTTGGAACATGTTTGTGGTAGATAGCCCAATGGCTTAATTGAACCAGGTCATCTGCTTTTAATAGCTCTTCTCATATAGCCTAGTGAAACCTAGACCAGTCACAAAAAGATGTCAATCCTAGTCTTAAAATAGTGTCTTCTGTTGAGACCCACAAGCTGTGCTCTAGCAACTGGTCATTTCAATACTTCTTTTACATGCAATTTTCACAACAAGACTAACAGTTCTATCATGAAGATTGGAATTGCTGCTCTCATTGCAGGAATTATTGGTGCTATTGGCATAATTCTGTTTCTGGTAGCATTTGGAACAGAATATTGGCTACTTGCAACAGAGACCTGTGAAAGTTTTGATTGTAACAATGGGACTTTGGACACTGAAGAAGAGGTAAACAGAAATCTAATGTGTACTTTAGAAAGCAGGGATTTCAAACAAAAGAAACAAATGTCTATGAAGGAAATCTTTTATAAAAATTGATGTGGTAATAGAATGAAAGTTGGGCTTTTAATTTTAGTAAATTTTCCTATAAATTTTAGTAATTGCTTTTCAGATTTAATTTATTGATTGGAGATATGGAACATGGGAAGACGCTAATAGGAAACAATGATGTATAAAACAAAATAATGCAAACAGACTAAATTGATATTGTTGCAGGCTTATGAATGGGTATTATTATAAGTTTAGACCAACAATGCTATTCTCACACTAAAACTTGTTAATTTGATTTATTAGTTTGCAAAATATTTACTTTGTTGTGATTTTTTTAGTCATTTTAATATTTTAAAAGGGATGATTAGAGCTGGAGTTATAGCTCAGTGGTAGGGTGCTTGCCTGGCATGTGTGAGGCCCTAAGTCTGATTCTCAGCACCACATATAAATAAAGCAAAAAAAATCCATTGACAATTAAAAATATAAAAAAAGAATGAATAAAAGTAGAGACTGAGGGAGAAACCAAAAGCAAATATTTTAAATCCAATTATTGAATAAATTTGGAACATTATTTTCTTTCAGGACTAATGAAAGTTTCTTGATTTTTTTTTTGTTACAACTTTATTCCAGTAAGAATGTGTATTTTATAAAATAGTTCACTATTGAACTACAAACTTTTCTCAATTTCAGGTCATTCAAATATAATCATGTTACAAACAATACTATTAAATGATCATTATTGTTCTTGTAATTTTGCATGTAAAACACATTTTCTTTATGCACTGATTCTCATATAAATAATAACTATTATACCACTTAACAAAAGTCAATACTACAGAAGAAGTGGCACGTCAAACCAAAATGCTTTGAATTGTTCTGACTGATGATTTGGAAATACTGAAGTATTTTTTCTCAGATCATCCAAAGTTTGACTACAGTTTCTTCTCATGCTATCATTCTCTAGTTTTTAAAAATGTTATTCTCCCTTTCAGAGTGGCTTCCATATTTACAGTTCCTAACTAGTCCATGATTTTCACATTAAAACTGATCTTATTAAAACCCTTCTGCAGGGTAAAGCTCTAGTACACTGGTAAACCTATTGATATTGGGTTAAAATGCTCCCACTCCTAGAGATATTTGCCATGCAAAGAGATCAAAGGAATGCATTACTATTGATGGATTAATGCTTCATTAATATTAATTTTGGATAGAGAAAAATTGTCTAAGGTGATACACATTTCTGTAATCTCTGATAGCATACAATTTAGGATGCCATCTATTTCATTTTCATCCATGATTGGTTACAAGTGTCAGATAAGAACTGTCAGTCCTCCCCAGGGATTATTACTTGGCATGTTTGAACAGCATTTTCAGACAACAAATGGAATGCTAGAATGTTAGAACTGGAAGTCATCTTAGAAATGATCTAGTCTGAGCTTTTAAAAGTATCAGTTATCTCATTCCTCATCTAGTGCTATTTTTAGCACATTAAGTTGATTGTATTGGTTATAAAAATCTATTATGCATATATAGTGACAAGTATATTGACTAGAACATAGTTGGTTCTTAGTATTACCGAATGAATTTTACAGATCAAGAAATTGATGTTCAAAAGTGGTATGTGAATAACTTAAGCTCATAGAATTAATGACTGAGTAGCAACCAAAATGCAGGATTCCCTATTTCTAAATCCAGTGTTCTATCTTCTATTTCCTGATCATTTCATTACTTCATTTGCCAGATGCATGTAAGGAAAAAATCTGATCTAAACATACTGTGCTATAAGTAGGAAATGATTATTAGCAAATCAATCATTTAATACTCTGTTATCCCTGTAATAATACAGTTGTTAGAGTACAAACATCTCTAGATCATCAAATGTATATAAGCTTGTCAGTAAGAGAGAAAATGAGTTTGCATTTCTGAATTTCACATTCTCTGCAATTCCTGGCATGATTCAATAATTTATAATGTCTAGTTGTCATCATGGCATTAAAATTCTATATGTCAGTAAATGTTTTAAAAAAGGATGGTTAAAAAAGAACTTTATTGATGATGGTGGTGATTATTACTCTATACTCTCCATGTATTGCTTCCCTATTAAGAATAATAGTTAAGATATAAATATACTCCATTTATTTAAACTGTAGAACACATTGTACATGTACATAATATTTGCAGGTATATGTGTACTCATACTTTTATGCTTTATTCATTCTAGAAGAAAGTTTATTTTGCTTGGATCTTTTAAAATTTGTATGTAGTTTTGCTTTTTTGTTTTTTATTTTATTTTTAGGTAGACACAATATCTTTTTTTTTTACTTTTTTAAATGTGGTTTTGAGGATCGAACCCAGTGCCCCACACACGCCAGGTGAGCACACTACCACTTGAGCCACATACTCAGCCCCCTTTTTTGCTATTTTAATTGTATTATTTCTGGAATTTTAAATTATGTTGTCATCATTATTTCTTTTGAGAGGTAAGGTGGATGAAAACAAAACATTATGTTTTGTAAGTATGATAAATTCTATAAGAATTATAAAAATCAAAATAGCAGAATAATACATCATGTTAATAACTATTCAGTGTATTTCATCTTATATTACATAATAAAATTATTTTTATTATTTCTTTTAAAAATAATAAAATTTAAGGGCTGGAGTTATAGTTTAGTGGCTCTGGGTTCAATCCTCAGCACCACATAAAAATAAAATAAATAAAATAAAGGTATTGTGTCCATCTGCAACTAAAACTATTAAAAATAATATTTAAAATAGCACTTTCTAGATAAAAAGAGCATAAATAAAATAATGAATCACAAATATCAAATTATTGGCGTTTAGAGCACTTATATATGTTTTCTAATGTGGAATTACATAGTTTGAGAAGTTAGTGTTACACTTATGTGGAGGAAAAAAAGAAAAATATGAGGCCAAGAAGTTGTGCATACCAGTTTTTGCCTTTGTACATATAATACAGTCTTGTTAAGCAAGAATAAATTGAGACAATGAGATAGAAAAAGAAGAAAGTTGATCCACAATTGATCCACAATTGATCCATTCCCATTCTTGAATCCACCACCTCATTCATGTTAAAAATTCTGGAGAAAATAGAGATTGAAGGATCTGACCTCAACAATGTAAAGGCTACGTATGACAAACCCAAGACCAACATCATATTGGATTTAAAAAAACTAAAATATTTTCCTCTAAAATCAGAAACAAGTCAAAAAAGCCCATTTTTAACCACTCTTATTTGACATATTTCTTGAAACTAGCCAGAGCAATAAGATAAATAAGGGAAATAAAAGGATATAAACCATAAAAGTAAAAAAAGAAATCAAATTGTCTCTGTTTGCTGATTACATATCCTTTATATAGAAGGCGAAAATTATTCCACCAGAATTCTAGAGCTGATGAATAAATTCAATGAAGTAGCAGAATACAAGAACAACACTAATAAATAAATAGTTTTCCTATACTCCAATAATAAATCTTCTGAAAAAGAAATTAGTAAAATTATCCATTCAAAATAATCTCAAAATATTGGGAATAAATATATCAAAGGAGGTGAAATAACTCTACAATGTAATCTATAAAACACTGAGGGAATAAATTGAAGAACTTAGAAGATGCAAAACTTCCTATTTTCTATAAGGGAGAATTGATATCACCAAAATGACTATACTACAAAAAGTTTTATATGGATCCATTGCATTCCCCATCAAAATACCAATAACATTCTTCACAGTTCTAAAATTTATTTGCAAGAATGAATGACTCAGAATAGCCAAAGAAATTCTGAGCAATGTTTTTTTCATCTTGTTCAGTTGTACTAATCTAAATATGAAACATAAATGAAACCACTTCTATGCCTCAGCTCACTGTGAGAATAGGAAAAGCCCATTTGCTACAGTAAAATTATTCTGTAAGTTATACTCTAGGGGAATTGTAGAAGAAATATGTAACATTTATATATACTTCATGGAGCAATTGTTTAACTGATATTATTTTTAGAATACTAACCAGTCATGTGGCAAAAAATCAAATAAGTTTCCTTTGGATCATGATAAAATTCTGAAGTGTGTAAAACTTAAGCTATCAACTAATTAAGTTGCTGTTAATTAGGCGGCCAATCAGTCAAAAGCATATGTTGAGCCTAATGTAAGTCAAATACTGTGTATTTATTCTTCATTTTAAACTTTTTGATATTTATTTTTTATGTAAAATCATTAAACCATACACAATAATAGAAGGAAATGTATAATGATCACCCATCTACACACCACCAAATTTTAACAAATCAACATTTTCCTCCTTCTTTTTTGTGTGAGACATATAAAACCTTTGCACTCAAATTGCTGTCCACAAATTAACAATAATGGTATCACTTAGCAACTTCTAAAAAATGAATATTTTTAGGTTCTATACAGAACTAATGAATCATATGTTTAAACAATATCCCTAGTTGTTCACCTTAAAATTTAAGAAGCAGTCATATACAAACAAACTGTCAGACAGTATACGTAAAAAAGGTATTTTCTACCCTGTTGATAAATATTATCTCAGTATTTTATAGAATTCCCTGAAAATGGCATTTCATTTGTGGAATAACAGTTTTAAATTTTAAATGTTTTAATTCATAGAATGATGAAGATATAAGGGACTATGAGGAAATGTCTGTTATATACCATCATGAAGGATTCTTCTGGCGTTGTTGGTTTTTTGGAGATGATCCACAAACTTCAGTCTGGAGATACTGGTTTAGTGAGTATGAGATGTTATCATATCACATTTTAGAGGAATATTCTCATGTTCATGTTCAAATATAACTATATGGGAATTTCAAGGGACATTTATCAATAAATATATCATAGTTGATATATGAAATACCAAGAGAAGGTAACACTTTATCTTTTCATGTGCTTGACCTAGAAGTCAACTGGCTTTTTTCCCCCTCAATGTTTGGCAGTATACCCAGAACACTGCACATGCTAGGCAAGCACTTTACCACAGAGCTGTACTTCCTGGTAATAACTGGCTATTTTGTAGCCATATGAATAAGATCATATTGCCTTAGAATCATATTGAAAATCATCCATATTTTTTTCAAGATAAGATAGTGGACTTTGGTGGCTACTTTTGCTTTGCTTTAGTAAAATTAAATCAATAAGGCCACAAAATGTTTAAATTTTATAGTATTTATTTAATATATGATTAATTATTTAGGAATCATATTTTTTAAGAACTGACTGCAATTTTACCTACCTGCTGAAATAAATTTACACCCTAGAGAAAGTGTTTCTCATCCTGGCTTTGTCACTTTTTCGATTATGATAGGGATATGTCATAGCTTCTCTTTAGATATCACTTCATCATGACTGTTGACAATATGTTTATCATTGTTAATTTAATATGAAACACCAAAAAGTTTATTCTAAAATTAGTCCCTGAATTTTCAATATTTTTCTAGATATTCTCTTCCATCAATCTGCAATTCAAATTAATGGCAATAAATGGATTTAGATTTAAGGTAAATTAAAAATGTTCAAACATGGTCAATTCATATCTATCACTACTTTTATTACATTATGATTCTTAAAATATGATATGGAAAAATAAAAAGAATTCTAGTGAGAATAAAGGGTATGATTAAGAGCTCTCATACTCTACTTCTTAGGCATGTTTTGTCATTACTGTAATGCTAGATAGATAACTACTATTTGTTCTAAGTAATCCAATAATCCAATTTGCTCATATTAATGAGCAAAATAATTATAGTGTCAATATAAATAGAATCCTATTTCAGGACTCACCAGGGAGAAGATTTACTCAATAGTTACTACTCAAATGTTACATACTTAATGATGATACTCATAAAGAAGACATTGGAAATCAAGCATGGTTGCACATACTGTATTCCCAGCAACTTGGGAGGCTGAGGCCAGAGGATCACAAGTTCAAAACCAGCCCCAGCAAATTAGTGAGGTCCTAAGCAATTAAAAAAAACAAAACAAAACATGTCCTTCAATAGCTTAGTTGGGTACAAGACAAACAAATTTCAAAAATAGAAGAAAAAAAAGGCAAGGGTGTAATTTAGCAAGGTAGTACATCCTATACATCATGAGTAGTCCTATGCATTAAATCTTTAAAAGGTCAGAGCAAAGAGGTAACTTAATAAGAAAAAAAGATGTCCATGGATGGTTTTTTGTTGGATAAAGAAATTGAATTAAATTGAGAAGTATTGGAAGGATTTAGGCTTATAGTTATTGACATGGAGGAAATGTAGAATGATTTTTTAAAAAATTATGCTATGTGTATGTATAAACATACAATAGTGAATACCTTTATGTATATGTATCTATCAGAAATAAATATATAGGAGAATGAAAGGAAGACCAGTAGTGTAGAGGAAGAAAAATGGGGGAAAGAGTAGAGGATAATGAGGACACTAGAGACTGAAATTGAGTAAATAAAATTCCATGCATGTATGATTTTGTCAAAATGAACTCAACTATTATGCATAACTACAGTGTACTAATAAAGGCACAGTGCATGAGTACCATGAATAAAGACATAGAGGTAGGAAAATATTCTCAAGGAAGCTGTTTAGGAAAGTGTAATGGAGTGTGACATGGCTCAAATGCCACAAATTCATGCTGTTCTCATCATGAGTAGGTACATCTCTTTGAGTGTCATGAAAGGTTTGTGGAGAGGTGTAGTGGGAGCTCATGTATGAAGGTAGACTGGAAACAAATTGAACAGACATAAATTATAAATAGGAAATCAGTAATTGGGATATACAATGCCTTCATACAAGTATCTTTATTTAATACATTGCAAAACCTCCTCTGAAGCTTATTAAAATTTTCCCACTTAATCTGCATGAGTAGCTGGGGAATATATGCTTCTATGTGCATGAAAAAAAATTAGGTTTAGTGAACATAGGCTTTAAAAAATAAATTATTTATTTTAATTTGTTACATATGATGGCAGAATGCAATTCATTTCATATTATACATATGGAGAACAATCTTTCAAATCTCTGGCTGTACAGGAAGTATTTTCACATCATTCATGTCTTCATGCATGTACTTAGGGTAATGATGTCTAAAACATTCCTACCCATCTTTCCTACCCCTCCTTTCTCCTCCCTCTGCTTTGCCTTATCTAAAGTTCCTCCATCCCTCCATCCCTTCCCCCACCATTCCCTCATATCAAAGAAAACGTTTGGCCTTTTTTTTTGGGGGGGGGATTGGCTTAATGCACTTAACACTATATTCTCCAACTCCATCCATTTACCTGCAAATGCCATGATTTTATTCTCTTTTAATACTGAGTAATATTCCATTGTGTATATATACGAAAGTTTCCCTATTCATTCATCTACTGAAAGACATCTGGGTTGGTTCCACAATTTAGCTATTGTGAATTGTGCTGCTACAAACATTGATGTGCCTTTTTCCCTGTGGTATGCTGTTTTTAAGTCCTTTAGGTATAAACCGAGGAGTGGGCTAGCTGGGTCAAATGGTGGTTCCATTCCCGGTTTTCCAAGGAATTTCTATACTGCTTTCCAGATTTGGCTACACCAATTTGTAGTTCCACTAGCAGTGTATGAGTGTGCCTTTTCCCCCACATGCTCATCAACACTTATTGTTGTTTATATTCTTGATAGCTGCCATCTGACTGGAGTGAGATGAAATCTTAGAGTGGTTTTGATTTGATAATGATATTTAATTTTTTTCATATATTTGTTGATTGATTGTATATCCTCTTCTGAGAAGTCTCTGTTCAGTTGATTGGCCCATTTATTAATAGAGTTATTTGGGTTTTTTGGTGTTATGTTTTTGATTGCTTTTTATATCCTAGGGATTAGTGCTCAATCTCATGTGTTTGCGGTGAAGATTTGGTCCCATTCTGTAGGCTCTCTCTTCATCTCACTGGTTATTTCTTTTGCAGAGAAGAAGCTTTTTAATTTGAGTCCATCCCATTTTTTGATTCTCGGTTTTAATTCTTGTGTTATAGGAGTCTTATTGAGGAAGTTGGGGCCTATTCCAACATGATGGAGATTTGCGCCTAATTTTTTTTTTCCATTAGGTGCAAGATCTCTGTTTTAATTCCTAGGTCCTTTATCCATGTTGAGTGGAGTTTTGTGCATGGTTAGAGACAGAGGTTTAATTTCATTTTGTTGCATAAGGATTCCTAGCTTTCCCAGCACCATTTGTTGAAAAGGCTACCTTTTCTCCAATATATGTTTTTGGCACCTTTGTCTAATATGAAAGAACTGTAATTATGTATGTTTGTATCTGTGTCCTCTATTCTATATCATTGGTCTAAAGGTCTATTTTGGTGCCAATACCATGCCATTTTTGTTGTTATTGCTCTGTAGTATAGTTTAAGGTCTGGTATAGTGATGCTATCAGTTTCACTCTTCTTGCTAAGCATTAGCTTTGCCTATTCTGGGTCTTATTTTTCCAGATGAATTTTATGACTGATTTTTCTATTTATATGAGGAATGTCATTGGAATTTTGATTGAGATTGAATTTAATCTGTATAGTGCTTTTGGTAGTATGGTCATTTTGACAATATTAATTCTGCCTATCCAAGAACAAGGTAGATCTTTCCATCTTCTAAAGTCTTCTTTAATTCATTTCTTTAGCATTCTGTAGTTTTAATTGTAGAGGTCTTTCCCCTCTTTCAGTGATTCCCAAGGTAAATGGGGTGGATTTCCTTGTTTCTCTTTCTGAGGATTTGTCACTGATGTACAGAAGTGCCTTTGATTTATGGGTGTTGATTTTGTATCCTGCTACTTTCTTGAATTTATTTACTAGTTCTAGAAGTTTTCTGGTGGAATTCTTTGGGTCTTCTAGGTATAGAATAATTTCATTAACAAATAGTGATAATTTGAGTTTCTTCTTTTCCTATTTGTAGCCATTTAATTTATTTTGTCTAATTGTTCTGGCTAGAGTTTCAAGAACTATTTTAAACAGAAGTGGTGAAAGAGGACATCCCTGTCTTGTTCCAGTTTTTAAAGGGAATGCTTTTATTTTTTTTCTCCCTTTAAAATGATAATTGCCTAGGGAAATCTTTTGATTGAAGAATTTAGACCCTTTACATTCATTGGTGTTATAGAGTGATAAAATTTATTTCCTCTCATTTTGACTTATTTCTAATTTTAAGATAAATGTGATTATCCTATAATTTGCTAATCTAGTACAATTTATCCCTATGCTAGTTTTTATTTTTCATTTCTTTTACATTAAATATTTCCTTCAGTATGTTTTATAGGACAGACTTTGTGGGTATTAATTCTTTTAGTTTCTACTTATTGTGTAAGATTTTATTTTATCAGTTTTGAAAGATAATTTTGCTGGATGTGGTAATCTTGGTTGTCATGCTCTTCTTTCTGAGCCCTCCTGGATTTTAGGGTCTAGGTTGAGAAAGGAGTTCAAATCTGAATTTACTTACCTCTAAATGTGACCTGCTATTTTTCCTCTTGCCACATTTAAAATTATATCCTTTTTCTCTATATTCGTTATTTTCATTTAATGTTTGTTGGAGAGGATCTATTTGTGTTTCATATATTTGGAGTTCTATATGGCTCTTGTATTTGAATTTCCATCTCATTCCTAAGGTTTGGAATATTATCTAAAATTATTTTACTGAAAATGTTGCATATTCCATTAATTTGTATTTTGGAAAATTCATCTACTTCAATCATTTTTATATTTGGTGTCTTCATGTTATGCTAGTGATTTTTGAATCA